CGACGACCCGCGCACCGTCACTTCTTCGTGAAAGCGACGGCAGCCTCAGCAGCTCTGCGTGGGTGTGTGCCCCGCTGCTGCTCGCCGTATCCGCGCTGGCGTACACCACTCTGGGCTGAAGAATTGTGTGCGGGCTGTGCGTGCCAGCACTCAACCGCGGGGACTTGTGTGTGTCCACTGTGGTCCGATGTGCTAAACAGGATAAAATAATGATTGTGTTTTGCCTCACTTGCTTCCGCTGCCCTGCTGTGTGCTCCTTGCCGCTCCCCGCATCCGTCACGTTGAACGCACCCCAGACACACTCATGTGCATGGCACGCACACAACTGATTGCGTGGAGTCGCATTTGAGGATGGGTGCGTGCGCGCTGGAGCCATGCTGTGCAGCCCTTTGTTTTGTGTGTGTTTACATTTTTAACTTCATTGCTGTTCGTTTACCTGTGTTTTGTTTCTAATTGTTTTGTGTGTTTTTCTGTTTGCTTGCTGCGGGGCGTTGTGTGTTTTTGCCCTTTCACTGCTTTCAACTGCCTCATGGTGTGTGTGTGCTGCCGCTGCTGGGCTGCTGCCATTTGTGACTGTGCGGTGGCTGTGCGTGGTGTGGCGGCCGTGTCTCTCCTTTTGCTTCCGCTCTGCGTTGACGTGTTGTTAGTTTGTGCTGAAGGCTGCAGGCAAGTGACAGGAGTGATGGCGATGATGATGACTGGCCGTGTGCTGCTGGTGTGTGCCCTCTGCGTGCTGTGGTGCGGTGCCGGCGGTGGCTGTGATGACACACCGCAGGCTTCGCCTTCTGACTCTGGTGGCACGGTTGTTGGTACTGGTGCTGGCCAAAGTGGTGAAGCTGACAATGCCGTTTGTGGTGTTGGCCCGAGTGGAAGTTCTTCTGGAAGTGGTGTTAAATCCATGGTATCCGCTTCTTTTTCCGCCTGTACGCTTTCACCCCCCAATCCCGTTGACGGTGATGTTTTGCAGGGCGGCAAGGGTACGACAGCCACCCTGAGCATGGATTCCTCAGAAAAAAGCGTTAAGCCACAATCAGCGGAACCTCCAGCACCCGCACAACCCAACTTGGATAGACAAGAGGCGTCAACATCTAATGCAGAAAACCACTCCCCTATTAAGCCACACACCGCAGGAAATGAAGTTGTTAGTGGCGGTGCAACTGGAAAGGAGAACACGCAGAGGGCCGCAGTGACGGGAGGACCTTCCAGCGACACACGATCAACAACACTGCAAGCAGCTCCGCAAGAACAGCCAAAAACAGAACTAATAATAGTGCCCGCAGGAAAAGAATTACAAATTTCAACGGAGGAAATGCACCAAACGTCACCGTCAGAAGCCCAAAAGCTCCTTTTGGGACAAGAAACCCCTTCAAAGGATGACGCGGAAGATCAAAACACTGAGGGCACAGCAGCATCGGATTCGGTGAAGGACGAAGCTGCCAGCAGCTTGGTGGAAACAACAGCTCCACCCATCTCTACAAGTGGCGGTGCTGATACAAAGAGTGTAGCGAGTGAGGATGCTGATAATGCTCAGCAGCCCAATCATAAAGAAGCACACAAAGACCCCGAGCCTCAAAATACGAGTCCTGCCTTTACAACCACTGAGGCACTGCCACAAACGGCAATACCACTCACTACCGCTCCAACAAATGATAATACGACACCTGGCGATAGTGACAGCAGCACCGCGGTCTCCCACACCACCTCCCCTCCTTTGCTTCTTCTTGTTGTTGCGTGTGCCGCTGCTGCGGTGGTGGCCGCGTGAGAGTGAGGGAGAGAGAGCCGTGCACCGCCCGCACACACACTCGTCCTTCTCTCTCTGTGTGTGTCCCCTTGCATGGACTCTCGCCCTCACCTCACCCCACGAGGCACACACATAATGTGCCCATTGTATATATGCATGCACACCCATGCAGGCCCGTTGGTGCTCTCTTTTGCACGACACGCACCGCTGCCGTCCTGCCTGGCTGCATGGGCGGAGCACCGTAACTGTTTCTGTTTTGTTTTTATTGCATTGAGTGGGCGACCTCTCTCTCTCTCTCCCTATTGGGCTTTACGGGAGCAACGAGAGTGTGTGCGCTGGTCGTCCCACCTGTTGCTGCGCGTCTCCACTGCTGGGTGGACGCCCCCACGCTTCGGCTTTTTGTTGTTGGTATTTTTTATCCTCTGCCTGTGTTGTGGCTGAGTGCACCCATCTTACTTTTTTTGATTGCTGGTTTGCTTTGACTGCGGACGCCTGATTCCTCTTTGTGTGTTCTCACATTGTTTTCTTTCTCCTTCTAAAAGTGTCAGCCACTCGTATCCTTGTAAAGCCACCACGTCTTTTCTTTTCCACATACGCCATGCGTCAGTTGATCCACGTCACCCCACGGTCTGCAGCGCTGCTGGAGCTGCTTGTGATGATGCCTGCGACGGGAATTGCCAGCGAGTGCTTTGCTGCCACCCTGACGTATCCTTTGCTTCCTTGACGATGTAGGGCGTACCGACTGCGCGTGGGCGTCTGTGGTGCTGGTGAGGCGCGTGCGTCTCAAACCGTATGATGCGTCGCAGGTGTGCAGCGTCGTTTCGAAGCACCAATGGGCGTTTCTACTCATCATGACGTCCACAACGGACCCGGATGGCAGCAGGAGGCACTGCGGTTCCTCCTGGTGTTGCACAGCGACTTTTTTGGACGGCGCGCCTGATTGGCGTCTCTTGGGGCTTTTGTGGGGGGAAGGTGGGAGGCTGAGGGCATTAGGACTGAATTGTTTTGAGTGGCTGCGTTTCGTTGAATTGCGGCCAGTCGTGGCACTCTTTTGGGGTTTGGCGGCCCGTCTCTTTTGTTTGCTTCCCACTGCAGTACGCGGACAACACTGGTCCGAGGAACAGTTGTTTGACGGGTGTGAGCTGCTGCCGTGCGTGGTGCATGGACTATTTGATTGTGTGGGGAGGTGCATGGAGTGACGAATACTTCTGTTTGGCGTGTCGCGGTGTGTTGGAATGATGTTCGGAAAACATGTGAGGGGTGTTGTGTGTAGTTTGTGTGTCTTCTCTGGTGGAGCCGACATGTGTGCGGGGATTGTGGCATTGCTGGCTGACAGCTCCACGTCACTTTTCGGCATTCCTGGATGTGCTGAGGAATGACGGCTGGCGACCAGCGTGTTGGTGCTGCTGGTGGGAATAAGTGCACGAGGAATTGGCCGTTTTCTCTTTCCCATGCTGGAGCCGATGAACTGGCACGAGGGCACCGGCTGCAGGCTGCCTGCCAGCACGTGTGAGCAGCGGATCCATGCACACACAGACGCTCATTGCAAGAGCTTGTGCGATCACGGTGGCTTTTTTGGCGTGCTTTTGTGGGCGTCAGCCCGTCGGAGAATGTGTGAACCAAACGGCTGACGGAACACGAGGAAAATAAGTGCGTGCACTGTGCCGTGTTTCGGCGTCGATGGCAGAGCGGCAGGAGGCCCGTGCTGGCAACTGAGATCTTTGCGTGGCGAGGGATGTCGGTGTTGATTTTGGATCGTCGAGGGTGAAATGAATTTGCTGCTGCCCGTGTGTGTGGCCACTCCGGCGGAGGGCGAACACAAAAGGGAAGGATGCAGGCGCTGCGTGTGTGTGTGCAGGTGCCATGCAACAACGTCACAACAAACATGCTGCGACTCGGTGACCCTCACATCGCTGTGGTCCTCATGAACAGCCCAGGCACGGCCCGCATCGATGCACTTAGTGGACGGAGTGAGGCATCTTTTGAGGCGCAGCAGGGAGCAGGATGTGTTGACGCAGCCACGACGTGCATGGAGTGTCACGATGGCACAGCCGGCTGTGGCTGGTGGAATATTTACTTCTCGGAGGCAACAGAGAGAGAGAGCTGCTGCTCCTGACGTTGCTGCCTTTTGTGGCCTCCCATGCCGATTGTTATCTGTCCGCTGGTCATGGGTGGCATGCCTCCACTAGTGACGTCGTCTGCAGGGATTTCACAGCACCAGCGAAACGCACATCACGTCGCATGCTTTGGCTGTGGGTATGGTGTCGTGAATGCAGCCGGCATTATTTTGCCCGACCCCTTTTCACTGCCTTGCGACAAATAGATGCGTCGCCGCCCGAGTCATTCGCTGCAGCTCCGTGTGTTGTGCTGCCGGCACAATACTCTCGTGTTGTCTGACGTCTGGCTGACAGTCAAGCACCACTGCGCTGGGACATGCAGGGATGTGGACTGCCGCTCACGGTGTTGGGCACCGCTGTTTGGATGCGGCGGCCACACGAGCGGATGTATTGTGGCACAATGAAATGCGTGAAATACGCGGAATCACAGCGGCTGCAATAATATCAGCGGTGTGGCGCCACGGAGTATGTGAGGGGTGATGCATGATGAATCAGAGTGGGCGGCATGCGAGGGAAGTGCACCGCGACGGAGCGTCGCCCCGCCCTCAGCCTGCAGGGGAATGTACGCCCACAAAATATATGGTCGAGGCACCACCAAACACGCATGCCCTTCTGTGCAGCAATAAATAGGAGCGAAGGTGCGTTCTGGTGCGTGGGAGCCCACTCACATATTTTCATTTCCACCGCAATAAACGGCGAGGAATCAGGTGCCACAGCAACGAAGGAGGAAATAAAAACATCTATTGCAGCACTTTACCAGCGAAAAGCAGGAACAACGCAAATTGAATTATTGGCTGCACCAACACAATAAAAATTCACAAGAGAAGGAAACAGTTGTGCACACCGCAGGAACCCCAACACACGATGCAGGCATGAAGGTTTACCCTCCGCAAAAACAATAACAACATATGCAGACATCTTCCACCCTCCAAAAAGAAACACAAATAAATGGCTGCTTTATTCCATTCCTTGCGATTGACTTTGCGTGTGCTGCTGCTGCTGCTGCTGCGGTGGCTGCGCTTCCCGTGGACCAACAATCCACGTGGTGTGCGGGGATCTATTCTTTTTCATGGTTACTTTACTGTTGTGTTGCTGTGTGCGCTGCACCTATTCTCGTGTGTGCGTGCCCTCCGTGAGGGGTGCCGACACGACGGACCGCTCTCGCCGTATGTGCATGCGGTGGAGCCTTGTGTGCCGCTCCTGTTTGCTCCTCCCTCCTCCATCTGTGTGTTGGTGTTGCGGCAGGGCTGTGTGTGTGTGTGCCTGTTGCCGTGGATTGGAGTGTGTGTCGTGCGTGGTGTGCGGCGTACGGTGCATGCCTGGCTGCTGCTCTCTCTTCTTGTGTGTGTTTGCCCTCTGTGTGTGTCTGCCGCACCTCTCGTCTCCCCTGTTGCTCTCCATGTCCCTCACTGTGCAGATCAGCTCCACACCACTGAACGACCACACTCACGATGACGACGTGCCGTCTGCTGTGCGCCCTGTTGGTGCTTGCCCTGTGCTGCTGCCCGTCCGTGTGCGTGACGGAGGGTAGCGGAGAACAAGCTAGGGTCAGTGGTTCAACGACTGCTCAGTCACAGGGAACAAGTGGTGCAGGGCAAGCAAATACTTCCATGACGTCAAGTTCAACACCTCCGACCGTCACATTATCGGAAACCGGAGATCCGGACGGTGAGGGAGCCGCTCCGGCAGGGAATCCAGATAAAGCAACTCCGGAGTCTATTACAAAAGAGGTACCAGGTGGGTCCGATGGGTCAGGGTCGTCAGGTGGGTCCGTTAGCCCAAATACATCGTCAAGTTCCGTGACCGCTTCTGTATCGGCACAAAGTGAGAAGGAAAATGCGCCAACTACGACAACCACGACTACGACAAAAGCACCAACTACCACCACCACTACGACTACGGAGGCGCCAACTACAACGACGACCCGCGCACCGTCACTTCTTCGCGAAATCGACGGCAGCCTCAGCAGCTCTGCGTGGGTGTGTGCCCCGCTGCTGCTCGCCGTATCCGCGCTGGCGTACACCACTCTGGGCTGAAGAATTGTGTGCGGGCTGTGCGTGCCGGCACTCAACCGCGGGGACTTGTGTGTGTCCACTGTGGTCCGATGTACTAAACAGGATAAAATAATGATTGTGTTTTGCTTCACTTGCTCCCGCTGCCCTGCTGTGTGCTCCTTGCCGCTCCCCGCATCCGTCACGTTGAACGCACCCCAGACACACTCATGTGCATGGCACGCACACAACTGATTGCGTGGAGTCGCATTTGAGGATGGGTGCGTGCGCGCTGGAGCCATGCTGTGCAGCCCTTTGTTTTGTGTGTTTACATTTTAACTTCATTGCTGTTCGTTTACCTGTGTTTTGTTTCTAATTGTTTTGTGTGTTTTTCTGTTTGCTTGCTGCGGGGCGTTGTGCGTTTTTGCCCTTTCACTGCTTTCAACTGCCTCATGGTGTGTGTGCGCTGCCGCTGCTGGGCTGCTGCCATTTGTGACTGTGCGGTGGCTGTGCGTGGTGTAGCGGCCGTGTCTCTCCTTTTGTTTTCTGTGCTTTTGCAGGCGGCTCCACAGCGTTGGGCGACTCCACTGTTTGTGGTGATGACTGGCCGTGTGCTCTGCGTCCTGTTGGCTCCTGCAGTGATGTGCAACAGCTCGTGCGTGTTTTTGACGGCTGCTGCGACGGTGTGTGTGTGCGGCCCGCTGGTGATGGCGCGGTGACTGCTGAGCACGCGCGGGCTGTGATGGCTGCGGAAGGAGGACCGTGGCCGGTGGCTCTGGACGAGAGGGGAACGTGAACTCTGAGGTTGACAGCAATCAGGAAGACGAGGAGGGTGGAGAAAACACGGCGGGTGAGAGCCCTAATCCCACCCCCGCAGGACCACTCACTGCTCCGACGAGGCAGGATCAATCCTGCAGCGACCCACTGCGAAGTAACAATTGCAATCCGTCCGGCACTGGCAGCGCCCCTGCCGCTCAGATGCGTGCTAATGGACCGGAGTCTTTGGGCGGAGGGCACGCTGGTGGCGGGAGGACCTCCCAGGGAAGTGAGGCTTCGGAAAAACCGTCACGGGACAGTCACAGTGCCAGGGACGGCAAAGGAAACACCGCAATACGATGAAGGAGAACCCGGAGCGCAACACGAGGCCGACCAAACCACGAAAATGACTGTGATGACTTGTTGCGCAAAGCAGCAGTGGAGCAGGAGGGTCACCAGCGAGATCGCAAGGCGCGCCACGACCCGATGGTGGCGAGAATGCTCATTATTATTTTTTCCCACTCTTACCGACGCGTCTAGCCGCACGATGCCATCCTGGTGCCGAGGAGGCGGTTGAGCAGCGGAAAAAGCTTCCTGCTGTGAAGCGACTGCCACTGAGAGAACTTTTTGTTGCGTGGATCTTCCTCAATGCCCAGCCGTTGGCGCGCAGCGGAGGTGCCTGGACATTCTAGAAGCAGATGGCGAAAGGCTTCCTGCGTGTCAACTGGCGTGTCTGTGGAGGTTGGCTGATCCTGCAGTGGCGGAGACCGCTTCCTGGCACCACAGAACGAGTAGCGGTGAGTGTCTTGGCGAATGGTACGACGCCACTTGTTGCTTGGCTGGGCAGTAAAGCATGTCAGCGGGTCCGTGTGCCATATGGGTGCGATTCCATGTTCCGTGTGTTGTCCGGTTGCCATGGTCTGCGTCGCATGCTGAGCCGCAGGCTCATTAGCATGCACTCCACAATGTCCGTAACAAAACTGCCGGTGCACGGACCGGCCGGCACGCATCAGTGTCAAGAGACGCTGCCAGATCCGGTCCTTTTTGAGGGCCGCTAGGAGAGCCTGGCTTTGTGTCGCCACAAGCGGGGTTTTTACGCCTGTGGTGGATCCGAGGGATAATCAGCCACTCCAGGGCCAGGAGCAGCGCACTGGATTCCGTCCTGCAGCTTCAGGGGCGTGTGCCGCAGTTGTTACTTACTTTCTCTATTATCTGCGAGGAATGCAGGGATGAAGGCGGTATGCCAACCCCGGCTGGCGTGGGAACGTCGAAATCGCCATCCGTTGCGAGTATCCACGAGCG